TTTTTAAACCATTGGTTTTTCTTGTAATTTTCAGTATTTTATTCTACTTCATGCGTTTATTTATTTTATATTTTCAACATTGATGTGATTATAGTTGGCATTGCCAACAATCCAAAGAGGGTTCGATCTCTTAAGTGAGATTTGATCACCTTAAGGTTGGTTCGACATGACCCCTCATACTTTAAGTCATCTAGAGCGAATTTCCGCCTGACTTGATTTAGCTATATTCAGGAGTGGGAGAAAAAGAAACCCTATTTTGTAGATAATGCTGATAGTAGATAATGCTGGGTAAGAAGTCTAAGAAAAAGAGAAAACAAAACTTTATAGATGAAGGGGGCATCTAGGAATTGGAACCTCATCGGTAGGGTAAGAAAAAAAAAACTATAGATTATAGTACAAACTCATTATAAGGAATGTTAAATTTGCCTCTCAGGAGTTTAATGGCTTTAAATATCGTTTACTCTAGTAACGTTATATAAACTAATAGAGCTTGCCTGTCTAACCAGATTCGGCTATGAACCACACCTAGAACCGTTTTGGTGTGACTATAGAATTGACAAACTAGTCAATACTGGTCGAACAATTTGGGTAGATTGGTTGAACTGATTGGTCGGACTTGTTAACAACTAGAGGGTCGGCCGCCTTTCTTATAATTTTTATTTAGTTTTCATTCTTGACGGATGAATGGGCTGGTTTGAACCCTATTGAACCAGACCAGTGCCCTCATGAGTTCAATGACCAATCCAATAGTGATAAGATCGCATTATCGAAAGAAGTGGAAAAACCAACTCTGTGCATCTTTCAAGTTATTCTCATGCAAAAATTGGATCTTCTTTGACCATTGACATATCTATTTCCCTCTTTTGCGACACTTAACAATTCAAGTGACCAAATTTGATGTGCAGCTTGTGCAGAAAGAGATCAATTGCACATGCTGATCATCCATCAACCCTTAAATGGATTATGAACAGTGTAAATAAGCTTGGAAATGGTTTCTTCCTTGCACATGTTGCCCCTAAAAGATGGTCCTATAATCCAACATAAAGAAGAAAAAGAAGAAGAAGAAGAAGAAATGCAATTTGAATTCCCAAAAGAGCACAATATCTGAAACTCCCAAAAGAATGAATCCCGCCACAATTCCTGAAATCTCTAAGGATTATATATATACAAAAAGTTTCTCATAGTTCTATTAGCAAACACAAAGTCCTTCAGCCCTCCTCAATCTCCACACTGTCCCCCTTTCTCGCCTGCTCCCTCTCGAACCTGCAAATGAAATTGAGCCCAATCAAAAGCTCCGTAATGGCTAGCTCGGTCTTCTCCATGTCTGAGAAATATAGCGTCTGCAAAAGAAGAACACTCGACTTTTGAACCAACCTCTGTTGCTCATGGTTATGCTCTGTTTGCCATCTTATCATATCATGCGCTAGAGGGCTGAGCCATTCCATGATCCTCTGAACGGCCTCTTTCCACTCATCAATCATCAGATCCTCGCCATTGATCAACTTCCTCTTCCCATAAGACATGAGCTTAGTTCTTACTGAGCTTTTTAAACTAGTAGGAAGCATATTGTATAGATCGGTCCTGGCATCTTCTCTAACCATACTAGGGCAAAGAAGGAGCCTTTCAACGAAAATTATCACATTAGCATAGCGAAAAGCTAGGGCGGAACCTCCGACAGTTGATGGCGAAGCATGGAAGAGCTTGTTTGTTCGACCATATCTTGATGCCCCATTCCATAGAATTTTGCAATAAGCAAGAGGAGCTTCTTGTTTTCTGTTAGCCTGGTAGCTATGAACACCGGCCCCCTTTCCGATCATGTTTGAGTCTACGTCGTTGAATTCTCCATCATTTTTAGTGAAAGTTTTGGTTTCTCCAAATTCTCCTCTGGTACTGAATTTGGTTTCACGAAATTCTCCTCCGTATTTAGCCCTGAATTTGGGGAATGGCTCATAGAGCTTCCTCAATGGATGGCCATGGCCAATGCTCTCATCCATTGAAAAATCAAGCTCGAAAGGGGTATCAGGACCAAAAATCCTTAGAGATTTGCTATGAAGAATTCCATGCCCAGTCGGAATTTTCTCAAAGGGGCCTGAAGCACGATGATCCTTCAAAATGCCAATTTCTGGAAGTTGCGCTGGGCTCCGGAAAATGACCAATTGGCCTGAAATCTGACCATTTTTGCTTGCAAATTCAGTTGGAAACAGGGGCAATCCCGACACATAAGGGCTGAAAACTGAGCAAATCCGGCCATAAACAGCGATGACACAGGCAGCCATTAAACCTGCAACTTTGTCATGGCTACAATTCCATAAAGAAAGTTTCCGGAGTTGCTTAACGCGTTGCCTTTGCCACTCGAGCTTTTGCTCAAAGAGCTCGGGGCTCATCATTTGGTACAGGGCACCATAGGTATCTCTCCTTCTCTGCAACTTCTTCTCTGAATCCTCCATCTCTTTCAATACCTCGGATTCAGTTCGAAGCTCCAAAGTCAAAGAAATGTATTTCTCTATCTTCTCAACCTTTCTATCCCAATCTTTTAGAGAGAGAAATTTGGGGCCTAATTTGCCTGCCGATGGAATGAACCCATATCGCAAAAGATCATTAAAGATGTGCTCGAAGCTCTGTAAGGCCGCGTCTTTGCACTTTCGACCAAGGTTCGAAATAGAGCGAACCACGCTCGCGAGGTCCTCGAGGAGTTCAGCGCAGGCAAGAGAGAGGAGGAAACCTTCGTCCGGAGAGACAAAATAGGCCAAGGCTTCCGACCGAAGCACCTCTGTTCGAAGCCTCGAGAACTCCCCATCTGATAAGAATTTGTATAGAGAGAGACCCCTCGACATGATCTTGGCTGACTCAAAGGAGAGTATTCCGACTGTCGAGCTGAATTGGGCTTTCTTCTTGGATCCTGATGAATTGGGTTTGATCACAGAGTTTCCCATTTGTGAACCAGACAACTCTGAACTAGAACTAATGGAGAAGAGATTTCACATGGAGTAGAGATTTCATGGGGGCTTTTATATGGGTTAAGATTAGGGTTGGGAATAGAGAGACACAAAGGGTTTCTTCATCTTCCTTGCTTCTTCTGCAAACGCGTTTATGGGGGAAGACTGTAACAGGGTGGTGGGAAATTTGAATTGAAGATTGTGAAGAGAGAGAAGAAAGGGGGGTGTCTTTAGTTTAATAGGTTGCCAGCCTCTCTTTACCCATTTATGGGGCCCAAATTTAGACCCGGGTAAACCGGGTACGGATTAAATTTGGCATGGTCAAGGTAGTTTTCATGGATGGGGTTTGTGACTTAGTAGAGAGAAATACTCCTTTTTAGGAAAATCTTCAAACCACCCAACCTCACATGCTTTTCATTTCTGATTGTGATTTATGATCTGGAACCTACAACAACATCTATCTCTTTTTAAAAAGCTCATTAAAGCAAAATAAAAAAAAGTGATTTGTTGCTCGGTATGATTGATATCTTAACTGCTTGGTATGATTGATATCTTCACTTTTTACCTAGGTTTGGAAAATCACCAATGGAAATCATAATTGCCTGATTCCATTCCAGTTCTTTAGCTTTTCTAAAGTTGATCCGACTCGAGAATCACCCAAGTTTGATTGGGAAAATCGGATCGGGCCCTGTTGAGTCAACACGTCAATCTGGTATTTGCATTTTTCGCGGAATACATTTGCGATTTCGATTAGGAGCTTTTTTTGTTCTGATGTATAACAAGAGAAATTATGCAATAGATGTAATTTTTAAACGAATAAAAAACTTTTTAGAACAAATTTACCTCTCAAGAAAGTACCTAAAAGGAGCACCAAACTTTCAAAATTGACTTGAGATTTCTCAAAAGCATCTCCTATGGTAAGAATAGCCAATTCCAATTCATTGTGAAAAGACTATGATGACGGTTCTAAGAATAACCAATAACAAAAATGATTCAAAAATATAAGGTTATGGTTTGTTTATGGGGTACTCATATACGGATATGAGTGCATGTTGAATAAAACTCGGGATTCTTTGTGCATGAGCCCAAATTTATAAATATTTCCTTTTAAGGGTAGTTCAAGGTGTTTTATGTTAGGAATTCAAATTTTAACTTAATTTTTTCCTTGTTTGTTGTAGCGAAATGTGAACGCAAGACGTGCGTTCACCGTAGGGGTGGCAATCGGATTGGATCGACAGCTAGACTTGGGTGTGGGCAGGGTCTGGCATGGACCCTACCGGTCTGGTCTGGGTTTTGGTTGACCTGACCCAACTCTATCCTACATTAAATAGATGATATATATATATGGGTTTTTCTAGAGTCGACAACCATTCAAAATACAAAATTTAATATTAGAATGAGTTGTGATGGGTATATTTATTAAAAAAATTATTATTATTATTTTTAATAAATTATTTTAATAGATAACTTAATCATTAAGTATGTACAAATTAGAAATTTTACAAAAATACAACCATATTTTAGAAGTTAGTGTTTTAAAACTTTATTTATTAAAGAGAAAAATTTATCTAGAGCCGAGGCTCTAAATAATCAAATTAGAGCCAACTTCAGACCTCAAAAATTTCACTAGAGGAGGTTGTTTTGATGCCCAAATATCCTGAAATTGAGCATCTCGACATCAAGATGCATGGACATGAGAAAAAAATGGATTCCAAGTTTTCGAAATAGTGCAACATATTTTTGGACCATCAATTTTCATAGATTTACTCAATCTACACTATTTTTGAAGCTCTAAATTTTATAATTAAAAATGAAAATATTTTTTAAGGCTGTCACAAAGATTTCTAGAATGGAAACTACATTTCTCGACACTTTTCGAATGTGCATTTTACTTTGATTGTTTAGAGCTTCGGCTCTATACAAATCGTACTCTTTATAAAATACCATTGTCTTTTGGTAAAAATTTCAAATTTACCCCTTATAAAATGACAACAATATTATTTATTTTTTAGTGATATTTACACAAACACCTTTACTTAATGAGCAAGATATCATAAAAAAAAACTTTTTTTTTTTTAAAAAAATACTTCATAGTTAATAAATCCATCAATCACAAACATTAACCTTTGTAATTTGAAGGATTGTGAATTGTAGATTATCCCAATATATATATTACATAATGTGTAAAATAAAATTCATATATTGTTTTAAAATTTCTAGACTCGGGTCTGGGTCCAAATCATTTGAACCTGGTACAGGTCCAAGTGAAATCTAGTCGGGTTCAGTCCCGGATGGGGTCAACCTGGACCCGACCGGATGCCACCCCTAGCTCCATTGGTGTTTTTCTAGAGAGAGAGAGGATAATAGGTCTAATATGTTGACTTCCAAACAAAAAAGCAAAAAGAGATTTAGTCCAGTTTGTTAGAAATATTACATATCTTCAAGTAAATCTTACTTTTTTTAAGGTAAATTTCTCAAGAAGCATCACAGAGGTTAACCATTCAACATCTCATACATTTTTCTTGATTTTCAACGAGCACGTCAAAGGAAACATAATCATAGTCCGAACTTGATATTTTAGGTGTAGTTTTGATAAAGAGGTGAACTGTGAAATAATTAGTATTTCAGGTTGCTTGATAATCTTTTTATCTTTTTCTTTATTTATTTAATGTAGTGGATGCAACAATTGAACCTAATGGTCTAAATGTTTTATTCATAAAATCATTATTTGTATCTTTTAATATATATATATATATATATTCATGGTCTCCATATTAGAGACTACATGTCCTTAAAAACTCCATGATCTCCATATTAGTGACTAAATATCCTTAAAAATAGGGTCCGAAAATCCATTTGAAAAATAAATTTTTAATAGTCGACTCATTTTTACATGGACTCATAGAAACTGTGTCCATATATAAATAACTCCCATTCTAAACCATATTTAATCTTAATGTATTATTCTCATTGAATCCACCTTTACCATATTCTTTTTTTAATATAACCTGTACCATATTCATTAAAAAAAATCTGAATTTTAATATTATATTAATCCCCACAATTTTTTTTTTATGTGGGTGTGAATGCTAGTTGGGCCATAGTTTTTCTTTCCACTACATTGAGTGGATTGCGAAAAAAATGTGAAAAGGTTTATATGTTCCTTGATGAAAGTATGAACCAATCCATAACTTGGACTTCCATTTTACAATGTATAAGCAACACACGTCATGTGTGGAGACGATTAGATGAATGATTACCAATTTGAGCGTGTTGCCAGCATTGAGAGTCAAGGTCAAGAGAGGAACAATTCATGCGTATTTGACCCTCGGTACATTTTGGGCGCATATGCTATCATTTCTTGGGAGCATATTTTATTTTTACTCCCTCTTGCCTAAGACCTACTTGGGACTATTTTTTAAATTTGAAATTTTAGAAAACACTTAGAATCACTACATGATTACCCTAAAAAAAATAAAAAAAAAATTGAAATTTGAGTTTTCCAACACTTAATCTCACCATCTAAAAATTCGATGGTCCCTGTGCTAGTCCCAATAAAAAAAATTGATAAATAAATAAATAGCCAAAATAAACAAACAATTTACTCGGATCCGTCTTTAAATCACATGAGAGACTTAATGTTCCATACCAAAACCTATAGACTAAGCTATCCGGTGACAGGCTACCTTGAGAGTCCTCTTTGGTGAAGCTCATTCACCTTCCATCTCTCTTTTTCTATCCTTTTTTCTCTCTTTTCTTGGGGGTTAACCTCCTTTTATAGATAACACATTTATTTTGTAACTCTCACATTTATGGTCTATAGGAGTTGAGATCCAAGTGTAACTCCTGCATTAATTCTTTTAGGTATGGAAAATTAGGATTATCAAGTTGTCACTAAACTGTTAATCTTATGTAATGAGCTAAACATATAATTAGTCCACTAATGACTCACATAATAGGATGTCATCCAAGCATTCTCACAATTTGATAAAAGATATTTAGAAATTAAATAAACTTTAGAGTTCTATAATATAAAAACAAATTCTTACAACGAATCTAATTTCAATCACACCACTGGTTTTCCCTCTAGTAACACTGAGCTTTCCCTCCAATGCAATATGCTATTATAGTTCAAAAATGGATCCAAGTATATGGCATTGCCTTATGTTAACTACATGGGATTTCACATACATTTCAATATAACTTTTATACCATTGTTGAAAAAAAAAAAATTTTGAGAGAAAAGGGCCTGATAGGCCACATTTTCAACAACTCCCACTTGGCCTGAAGGCCCTTTGATATCTTGCACATGACGTTGCCTCATGCTTTCCACATAAGATTTTCATATACCTAGCCAATATAGTTGTACATCACATTTAGATTTTTTGGCCTCAACAACCATATATATGTCATTGCCTCGTGCTACTTGTATGAGATTTCACATATACCCTGCCAATATGACTACACTTAGATTTTCCTGCTTCAACAACTTTTTATATAGCATTGCCTCATGCTACTTGCATGAGATTTCACATATACATTGTCAATGTGGTCATACATCACACTTAGATTTCCTGAACTCAACAACTTTGTATATGGCATTGCCTCATACTACTTGTTTTATGAGATTTCACATATACCCAACCAATGTGGTTATACACCACACTTGGATTTCTCGACCTCAACAACATTGTATATGACATTGCCTCGTACTACTTGCATGAGATTTCACATATACCCTGCCAATGTGGTCATACACCACACTTAGATTTTTTGGCCTTAATAACCTTGTATATGGTATTGCCTCATGCTAATTGCATGAGATTTCACATATACCCTGCCAATGTGGTCAAACACCACACTTAGATTTCCTGGCCATAACAACCATGTTTATGGCATTGCCTCATCCTACTTGCATGGGATTTCTTATATACCTTACCAATTATTCACCAACACGTTGGATTTTATTTACATCTATCTTTTTGCCATGAGAAGAAAAAAAAAAGGCACATTGCTTCCGCTTATTTCTTAAACATGTCATCCACCACTGGTCTTTAAGTCCAAAGCTCATATTCTGATCATAGGTCAAAATAATAAGAATAATAATAATTTGACAAAGCTTTAGGTGGTGGAGGTTCAAGTCCTCATCAAGACATTGAGAATGCTCATTGAATGAGCAATTCA